AAGACACTAGACTGGAATTCACAAAAAAGGGTTGGAGTCAACCTCATGGAAGGTAACGAATCACAGGAGTAGATCTCCCCGAGTACTGGGGGTAGAGGAAAGAGAGGAGCCAGCCCAGGCCTACCCCACGGCGCACCCCCACTGAGGGCTTCGGAACAGGAAGAAGGAAAAGATGCAGAGAAACAGAAAGAAAAGTGGAGCAGACTCATGTCACAGGAGTAAGACCAGGAAAACAATGGGGAAGAAACACAGGATGGACCTAGCTCACTATAAAAATATTAACACAGAATAATTCTCTCAGTGTTAAACTCCTCAAAAGAAACTGACAATTGAAACATGTTCTGGTTTACATCCCCTCTCATTGTATGAGTAAGAATGGTAGGAATATGTCTTTTGTATTGTTCCATAGCTGATATTTTTTTAGCAGTTGTTTAATAATAGCAGGAAAAACAATGCTCTAGTGATATTATTTTAGGCATTCTATTGTTGCTCTTGCTTACTCTAGCCCAAGAACTCAAAATACCAAATCTGCTTGAGAGACATTTTAATGAGGTTAACCTTTTTTCAATTTCTCAAACAATTGTTATAACAAACATTCATCAAATATACTTCACCAAAACAAAAACTGTCACTTATTCGCTTCTTGGTGCCCTTCTGATTGCTGAAAGGATTTGTTTTAGAAAGTCACATGTGGGTTCAATTTGTCTGGAAAATCTTTACCAGCTCTTAACTAGATAACTGAACTTGTGAAGTTACAGCCATCCTTACCAGTCCCAAGAAATTTGCCAAGAGTCTTGTTAATTAATAATGTAGGGCTTTGTGAATTCCCTCATGTCCTTGCCAAAGTGAGGGTAGGTTTTCTGGATCAGTACCTAAAGGCCCTCCCACCTAGAATCAGTCACCCGTGCTGCACCTCTCCAAACATCCCAATGTCCCTGCAGCCTCAGAAGAGGAAACACCACCAACCCCAGGGCCCTAGCTCTCTTGGAGCTAGGAGCTTCTTATCACTGTTCTCCTAGGCCTTGCCCTCATTGTCTCTGTACCCCACTGAGATAAAGCTCAGCTATCAGGATTGCTGATAACAAAAACAATGACATTTTGGTATCTCAAAGCAGGGAACTTTAGAGTCATCTTGAACTGCAGACCCTTAGACTTGTGAAAAGACAAAGTAGAACTACCACACCCACGTATGATGCCCCATAATAAATAGTTCATATAAAAAATATGCTGGGTCTACAGTTCCTATTTCTTTCTCAGATTTAGAAATGGGATGTCCTCCCAGAAGTTTCCCCGAGTTCCTCAAAGCTGAATTAGGTGCTTCTGAGGCCCTTGGGTTACCTTGATTCTATCAATTACCGGCATGAGTTTTATTTGCCTGTTTCTTTCTCAGTATTTCTCTCTAGGCTGTGACCTTCCTGGGGGCAAAGAGTACGTCCCAGTCACTGTTGTATGGCCCGCACCTGGCAGAGTGCAGGGCATGAAGAAGTGCTCAGGGAGCTTGTACAGAAGGAAGGAAGGAAGGGATGGATCCCTGGGGGCAGGTGCAGATCAGCCAGGGAAACTGAGGCACGGGGGAGTCCTCCAAAATCATCCGCTTAATCAAAGCAGACACAAAAGGTAGGATCCTCTTGTTCCTAAACCACACTCTTCTGTGTGATGTAACTAGTATACAGCACTAATAATTTTGTAAGAGTACCACTCTTACACACAATTTATGTACATTATTTCTTCTGGCTGGTATTAGAGATGGTTCCCTTCACCCTGTTCAATTCTCTATATAAAGAGCATGATGATTTGCATTATATCTTCACCAATCTCACTCCCAAGATATTGGGTTCATGTTGCTGTCATTGGGACTAGATCAGAAATCAGTCTTCTCATTTCAATTACATTTCCAGCAGCACATGGTCCATACTCGAATGGAAACTAAATCCCACCTCCTCTAAGGTCTAGGTCATTCAGTCACAGGAATGGTGACTCATGGTCTGGAGATGCCAATATTGATAGGCAGGCATCACCACACTTTGGGCAAAGTTCACATTTCTGACCCTAAGACATAATTTGTTAAGGAGCATCACACAGACCCATTGGAGGGGGAAATTCAGAGGCTGTGGAAGGAACAATTCATTCAGTTCAGTGTGACTGCATGACTGAGAACACATGGCACTCGCCATCAAAACACTAGGAGCACATTTTTGTCTCAGGCCTGCACCCTGTTTCTGCATTCTTGCCTAAGGAAGAAAAGTTGGGGAAGGGAATCAAGGTAGGAATGGCAAAAACCACTGACTTAGAAAATCCATCTACACACTATAACCATATGGTCAAATGTAAAATCAAACAGACTCATATGAAAAATAAATAAATAAGTACAATTTGTGCACGACACATAGTAGGTGATGTTTGGGCATACAAATGCAGGTAAAGTGTGATTCAGATACTCCAAAGTAGCAGGTAATCAAAGAATCATTTGTGTTAGCTTTTATATTAGGGTTTGATTGATTTGTAACATCTTATCATTCAAAATGTATTTTTAAAGGGATATTTTGATTGGATCAATATTGAAGTTATTTCAACTTCAATATTGATCCAATATTGGTATACCTAACAGCTGATTTTGGTAGGAGTTAAGCAAAAAATGTTATTGATGGCATGAAAAGTGAGATAATTTTAAATTTAGTCAGATATTATTTTTAAATGGATTTTCTTATATACCCATAAGTCATATGCATCTCTCTGTAATTAAGCCAGGAAAAATATAGTGTAATGATAATATCTGTTAAGTCAATTCGTGATCAGAGGGTGTCCACATTCCAGATCACTTAAAACACTAGGTGATATCTTGAGGAATACCTTGAGGGACAGAGCAAAGCTAGTGGGCAGGAATGTACTTGGGCTTTAGAGAAAAAAGGGAAGTAAAAAATTGCCAACTCAACAGCAATGAGTTTTATTCCCCACGTAGGAACAGGAGTTTCCATGACTGAGTGGCTCATTCCTTAAAGTCCTGGCTATTTAAAAAGCTAGCTCTTATAATTAGCTTTGCTTTGTTAATATTATAAATCAGAAAATCTAAAATCTAAGTCCAAACAGAGGTTCATATTTCTACGTAGAGAACTTGCCCTCATTAGCTTGCGATCAGGTTTAGCAATCTCTCCTTGGAATCTTTTGGTCAATATTTCTACACCCAAATAAAGTGTTCTGGAGCCTCCTCTTTTGAAAGTAGTGTCATCATCACTGGAGAGTGTTTAAATAACTGACTTCAGTGCGAGAGGCTAGACTAGAAGCTGGGCTAGGAGCTACAATCTGAAGTTAACTGCTAGTGTAACCATTAGTCTTTTCAATACCCAGTGAAGGCGCTGCCAGCAAGAAGTCAAACTCTCAATGATGAAACATGTGTACATATCACCAGTTTATTCTGGTATGTAACAGTTAATAATTTATGTACAGTGAAGTGCAGTCAGTGAATATCATTCTTCCAGAAGAGAAGTAAAAACACAAACAAACAAAATCTAAGAGCAAGATTAGGATTTGGAAGAGTAAGAGTGACTGTTAAGCGGGGCAAGTAGCAAAATCGTTTTTAAACATTTAGTGGGGGGACCCGAAATGTGTTTAGAAACCACACCTTCCCGCGGTTTTGTCTACAAGGCTTGACACTGGGGAACAGCTGAGGTCTTTATTCTGTCTGAAAGGAAGGAAAAAAGGGAAGAACAACAGTACATCAAGGACAGTCCAGAGCTGGAAGCCTTTACCGCTGCAAACCGAACTCCCTGCTCCTTTCCGGGCAAACACATAGCCGGAGGAAATGAAAAGTAGCAAAACAATTTGTACACAGAACAATGAGATGCAGTTTCATTTTGGTTTCACACTCAAATATGAATGTGGTTACAATTTTTAAATATATATATATGAATAAAAGACAACGAGTCGAGCATGATAACTTTTTAAAGCTGCACTGCAGAAGAACCCCACTTCTGCTCTTGAGCGTGCTTTAGCAACATAAAAGTCGTGGGAAAGCAAAGATACAGCTGTTTCCAGGCAAACAGCCCAGACTGTTCAGCATCAACCACCAGTCTCCCAAAAAAACGAGAGAAACAAGCCCAAAGAGACGCCTGGGCACATGTGTGGGGCTCCGAGCACCAAGGGGAGCGCGTGTCCGCCCCTCCCGCCCCCGACTCACCAGGGCACCCAGGGCAGGTGAAGGCGGCCAGCCGCTGAGCGCCCGGCGATACGAGTTCAAATCCCACCGACTCCCAGGCACCCTGCAGTGTGCACCAAGTTCTGCTCGCTCGCCCCCGGCCCTGACGAGTTCCCTAACTCGCCCCTACTCAGGCCACAACAAAGGAGGCTCCCTAATGGATGTGCGATCGCAGCCCACAGGGATCACTAGTGGGAACCGGAGAGAGTGCACCTGGCCGTGCCACTAGCGATCCCCGAGGGGCGGGAGGGAGGCTCGGCCAGGGACAAAGGG